AGTTGATTAAACTTGACATTTAAGGCACCATGAAAACGACTTTTTTTTACATTGGAATAATATATTTTATTTCAAATTTATTTACGTCTCACAAAGTTTTCTTACCTTTTCTTACCTGTTTATTTGATTTAAGTGAATTTTCAAACTTACCATAATAGAAAGATATATGAAATACAGCAAGTTTAATTAATACTAAAACTAATACTAAATGAATACTAATACCATGTGAAAAGTATACTTTTTTTTTTTATCAAATAGTGTATTAGTAGATAGTTTTTTTGGCAGTTAGTTCATGAAATTAACATTTTTTTCCTTAATCTTTTCTCTGCAGTAATCAAGGCCAAGGTGGTTGGAAAAAAAGAAGTGGATTCTGGGAATGATATTTATGGGAACCCTATCAAGCGGATCCAATATGAGATTAAGCAGATCAAGGTGAGGGATGAATATGACAGCTGTTGTTCAAATCTAACCTACAATGAAAATGTCTTGCCGTGAATAAAAGGATATTTTGCTGTCCTCTAACAGATGTTCAAAGGCCCGGATCGCCATATCGACGTGGTCTTCACCGCACCCTCGTCTGCAGTATGCGGAGTGACGAATTTGGACACTAACGGCAAGAAGGAGTACCTCATCTCAGGTAAAAGATTGTCATTTCACTACAGCTGTTGTTTTTGGTCAAATAAATGTACAGTCTAACCACACAGTGCTATTGGTTACTGCCTTCACAGCAAAGCACTTGCCAGTTGGCACATGCTTCACTCAAGGCGATCCATTTTCAGACAGGACAGAAGTTTACAAACCGTGACTTATTGATGTACAATGTGCTGAATTTACTGCTGGGTTTCAATACTCTTCTCTTCTCTCTAATGAACTTGCTGAGCAGGCAACTCTGAAGGGAAAAAACACAGAATATAAAAGAACGTCAAAAGATTAACACAGACAACTTCTGGTTTCCCCATCTCAGATCATTCCAGCAGAGCCCAAATTACAGAGTTGACAAGGCAGAGGTCTGTGGAGGGTAGCAATTGCCTTTAAAGCCGAAGTTTTAGAGGAGATGGGGAGGTAAAATAATGAGAGAGCTGATCCTGTAGTGCAGAGTAACTGCTGAGGTTGTGTTTTCAAGGCACACATTCCCTTCTCCACACTGAGTAGAAACTACGCAGGTTTCAGATTGTAAGCAGAGCAGACCTTCAGAAACCTTTGCTCTGGGCAAAAATAGAAACCATCTTGAGGTTGTTTATGTCATAGTATTTGCATGTTCCCTCCCATTTTGTGAAGTCCCAAATTGTGGTTAGCTACTCCTGTTCTCCACCATCAGGGTTCACAAGCTTTTGCATGTAGTGTTTTTCCCCAAATCTGTGCTTTGACTCTGCAGTGACCTCCTTTATGTGGTTCAGTCATAATACAGAACAATAGATGACTAACAGAAGGGTTTGGTTTATAAACGTGGCGACTTGTTATCGTGTTCTCGTGTGCTGTTATTTTGTCTGTTGGACCACGCTATGCTCGTGACTATCAGATGTTCACAGACGGTTCAGATTGTTTTGTCTGCACATTGTGTTTCCAGGCAAGGCGGAGGCCAACGGCAAGATGCACGTGATTCTGTGTGATCTCATCATGCCCTGGGAATCCATGAGTGCCACCCAGAAGAAGAGCCTCAGTCAGCGCTACCAGATGGGGTGTGACTGCAAGGCGAGTATTGGACACATAATAACCATTACTGTGGAACATGCTGTCAACCTGGGTTGTGCACAATTCAGAATTTGAAGAATGGTCTATCTGTCTATCTGTCTATCTATCTATCTATCTATCTATCTATCTATCCATCTATCCATATTTCTATCAGTGCATTCGTCTATCTATCTATCTATCTATCTATCTATCCAATTAGGTGTCTTTCTTTCTTTCCATCCATCCATCCATCAGGCCTATAAACCTTAAACTCTTCATAAAGTGCATAACGTGTGGTATTCAACACACATTGTTTTTGCATTTGAAAAGGTACATCTTTTGGTTTGGTACTTGTAGAACATTTTGCTGGAATTTTTAATTGTTAACAAACTACTTGCACTATTTATACTACTAAATTGTGTTCAATAGAAGTATTCAAAAACACACTTATAGAGACTTTGGGATGGACTGTTTTGATTTGAGTCAGTAAGCATCTACCTAGCTAATATTTCATAATAAAAAATACAGGTATCATTATCACACCAAGTTAACAAACATTGTTTTTGCTGCACCCAGATCACACGCTGTGCGACCTTCCCATGCGAGATCAGTGCCCCAGAGGAGTGTCTGTGGACAGATTGGGTGACGGAGAAGATAATTCACGGGCGCCAGTCGGACCACTACGCCTGCATCAAGAGAGGAGACGGCTCCTGCGCCTGGTACCGTGGAGTCGCGCCACCCAAGAAAGAATTTCTGGATGTGGAAGACCCTTAAAGTATCTCTCGCCCTCTCCATCACCCAATCTGAGATTCTTACAGATATCATAGATAAGGTGTAAGTTAATATCGACATAAAGACAAAACTCTACTAAATTAAAATTGAAACGTCTTAAGGCTAGATTAGTGTACAGTCTTCATTAGATATCGCAACAAGAGACAGAATGGAGCGAAAGTAATGACCACACCTAAGGCTGGCACCCAGAAAACACTCCCCATCGTGTGAGGGACGATCTTTAAAACGAGAGCACTTTCTGCCCCCCAAAACAGCACTTAGATTTCTCTCTGCATAAAGACTGAATGATCTCTACAATCTCCCAAAACTGCAGTCTCTCAGCTCATTTCGCTTTTTCAGTTTCTAGTATTCTGGCCTAAACCCACACGGGGTGGTATTGAAAGTATTACTTTTGAAGGTAGTGTAATTTCCCAAAGCCATGCCAATTGGTCCACTCAGATAAATGGTGAGGCAGGACTTCCCAGATAGTTCAAAGCTGTGCGGGGACCTGGAAAGAACTTAAGACAGTTGGGATTTGGGGGGAAAAAAGGAAAATTAAAGACCAAAGTCAATGTCGCTAGGCATGAATTTGTGACAGAAACAAAATTGTGCTGCTGACCAAATTTCAGAATGTGGAACTGTTGTATATGAAGCTGTTCTTCATTTCCACTATTTTGCATCATTGCTTCATGGCGTATCCTTCGCATATACGAAAAATGAAGGAATAACAATGCAGGTATCTATTATTCTGACGACAGTTCATAATTAGTTATAAAGTCCTCTCTAATTCGATTTTTTTATGCACATTTACAAATCGAACATCCCTAATTTGTTTTGTCAATATGTCTGTTTATCTTTCTGAACCAATTTATGCATTTTTTCCTCCGTTAATAGTTCAGTGATGATACTATTTGAACTTGTTGCACTTTTTAAAGACAAAACCAAGAGGACCGTCTCCTCTTTTTTGTAATTCTCATTTTCAGTGCTTTTGTTATTGATTTGCAAATGCTTTATCTTTAAGAATTACCGCATCAGTTATCTAAAGTCCTAGTGAGCTGTTTTATCTTCCGTATTGTTCTTATTAGATTATGTACCCAAAGAGGTATGTAAGACTTTAGTTGCCATGGTAATAATGGGAAGACCCTTCGTTTTGCCCTAGAGTAAAACAAGGCTGATTGGATTGGCATGCAAAGACACAGGCCTATAGCATGCACTGGGAAAGAGGAAACAATGAGCGAGGTTCCTTCCTCCTGTGATGTCAATAAACTCAGGAGTTTACTGGCAGCTTGAGAGGAAGGCACAGAGTTGGGTTGTTGCAGCTGTCCCCTGATTGGGCGTTGCCAAGTCATGTGATTGACTGAGGGTGAGGCATTAGAATACTAGTTGCTAGGCGCTTCGTCAGGGTGAACCATGTGGCCCGATGTGGTCAAAGTGATTGAGAGAAAGAGGGAGAAGACAGACTGAGGTTGAACTGATGAAAGCAAAACAGTGTTGATCGATTTGAACGATATAATGCATCACAATCATTGTATAAAATTAACACCAAAATCATTTGTGTCGACAAAGCGAGCATTCTTATGGGTAATCGTTCGATTCATGCCTTTCTATTTTGGCTCTCAGTGTTCCAGCATAAATGTACGAAGCTTTTTTTTCTCTTTTTTTTTTGCTTAAGTGTGATTTAAATTAAGATTTTTGTTTCAATATCCTCACATCTTTCTTCATACCAGAAGCGTTGTCATAAACGAGCTTGAACTCTTACAAATAGTCTATAAAAATCTACAAGGTTAATGTTTAATATGCATCGAGCTATAACTACTTAAACTGCTTTGTATGAATTGTTATTGAACTTTAATGGCGTAAGTTAAATGATTTTGTTTCCACGTTTCTACTTTTTTAATGTGTTATTACCTTTGATTTATATGATCACTGTGTTATTTTTACCAGTCTTTGGTCTTTCTCTTTTATGATTTGCTGAAAAGAGCAAGAATGTGAGACCTAGTGTCTGAACCACATGATAAAAGTTGTGGTAGAAGAACCAGACTATGCATGTCTTTGATGCTTTGTGTAATTCCCATGTGAACGTTCACTTGACGGATAAATATACAGTATTACCAAATAAAACATTAAACTACATTGGCTTGTCCCATTAGTATTTTATATGTATATTTCTGCAAGTAATGAGGTTGTGGACAGGTGTCTTTTATACTGATAACGAGTTCAAACAGATGCCATTAATACAGGTAACGAGTGGAGGACAGAGGAGCCTCTTAAAGAAGAAGTTACAGGTCTGTGAGAGCCAGAAATCTTGCTTGTTTGTAGGTGACCAAATACTTATTTTACCGAGGAATTTACCAATTAATTATTTAAAAATCCTACAATGTGATTTTCTGGATTTTTTTTTCTCATTTGGTCTCTCATAGTTGAGGTATACCTATGATGAAAATTACAGGCCTCTCTCATCTTTTTAAGTGGGAGAACTTGCACAATTGGTGGCTGACTAAATACTTTTTTGCCCCACTGTATATATATATATATATACTGTATACACACGCACACACACACACACACATATTAATGTATTCATTCATTTATTTCCGATTGCCCATAAAATGTGGTCTCTGGAGGCTTTGTAGTACATTTTATCCCATCAGTGTGAATATTTGACAGTAGTGCTGCATATTTACCTTTGCAAAACTTTCATGATCAGATACTGCCCTCATGTGGCAGAAATGAATATCGAGTGCACAGTTGTAGATAAAAATAAACACAAGGTCCACTTTGGTTCAACTCCCATGAGTTATTATCACAGACCAGGGGTTTATTTCAACAGCTGTCTGTTTATTTCATCATCTTGTAATGATGAAAACAAGTACATAACTCAGATAGTTCACAGTGAGGGCAGGCTATGGACCCAACGAGCGCCATGAATGTTTTTTTTAAGGCACACTCGGTAACTGAAATACTCTTTCAAACTGAGGTTTATTAGACTGTACTTTCCTGAAGTTTATGCTTGTAACTGGTATTTTAAATGTAAACACTTATGATCTGACTGTATATTCCTAAATGTCTGACATAAAATCTGATAAAATGATATCACTGATGGCTTTAGAGGCTATTAAAGCATTAAACCTTTCAAATAAACTCTTCCTGATGTATGTGGTAAATGACGGTGTTTGGCATCAGAGGGAAACAGTTCTCAGACTTTTCAATCTGTTCCCGATTATTCAGGGTAGATCATACACAACAGGAACGGATGACAGGGCAACTGGACCAGGTTTATCCAATGTCTATAAATTCTCTGTTAAATGTATTTTTACAGAGAATTTTGATTCACAAATCAAAATGATTCTTTGCAGCAGTCAGGGCCAAATGTAAAAAACTATTCATAAATTATGCTTTAGTGCATAAAAACCTTCTTTTTGGGTTATGAAAAAAACCCTCAAATCTAAAAGCTTCTTTTTAGCAACTTCTTTAGCAAAAAATTGTCAAAAAGAGCTTCTAATTGGCCGATGACTCGTGCATCCAGTCTGATTCGCCAGCACTCACAGTCCCTTGTTGAAGTAGACATAACTGACACGTTCCCCGTACTGAGAAATGATGGACTCCCTGAGCTCAGGTTCCAGTTTGGATACAGCCATAGAACTGCAAATCAAAGTGCAAATGATTGATTAGTTGGGTATGGCTCAGAGACCACAGTTATCATGAAAACATCTGAATGAAGCATTTTAAAGAGAGATAATGGAAGAAGCAGCTGCAAAAAGTTGCATGAATAACATTAATGTCCTTATCAAAATATGCCATATTTGCTGTATTCACCACTGGTTATTAAAGGATTAGTTCACCTAAAAATGAAAATTAGCCTGTTATTTACTCACCCTCAAGCCATTCTAGGTGTATATGACTTTCTTCTTTCAGACGAATCCAATCGGAGTTATATAAAAAATTGTCCTGGCACTTTTAAGCTCTATCATTGCAGTGGGCAGGTGTTTCTGTTCAACAGTCCAAAACACGTTAAATAAACTGCGCGCATCCATAATAAAAACGTGCCTCACACGGCTCAGGGGGGGTGAATAAAGGCCTCCTGTAGCGAATCCATGCGTTTTTTTGTAAGAAAAATATCCATATTTCAAATGTAATAAACACTTTTCTATCACTTCCGCTATATGTCATACACGGAAGCAGTTCTCGAGGGTGAGTGAAACACAGGCTAATTTTCATTTTTGGGTGAACTAACCCTTTAAAACTGTAGATGTGTATGTTTCTTCATTAAAACAAATTTGGAGAATTTTTGCTCTGCATCAGTTGTTCACCAGTGGATCCTCTGCAGTGAATGGGTGCCGTCAGAATGATACTTAAAACAGCTGATAAAAAATCACAATAATCCACAACAGACTCCAGTCTATTAATTAATATCTTATGAAGTGACAGTTTGAAGTTAAAAATCTCTTAATGATGGATTTGGTTTTTACAAACGTGTGGACTTCACTTCCCAAGATGTTAACTGATGAAATGGAGTTGTGTGGATTATTGTGATGTTTTTATCAGCTGTTTGAACGCTCATTCTGACGGCACCCAATCACTGCAGAGGATCCATTGGTGAATAAGTGATGTAATGCTAATTTTCAATGAAGAAACCAACTTATCTACATCTTGAATGGCCTGAGGGTGAGTACATTTTCTGCAAATTTTCTTTTTTGAGTGAACAATTCCTTTGAAGATATACTATACCTTTATAAAAAATATATATTGAATGGCATATACAATATATGTTTACAATCTTTACCATCTCTGAGGAAACAGTGAACATGCTGCAGGCACCATGAAGATCAGACTGTGAAACAGAGAAGGGCATGTTGTCATTTCTTCTACTGAAACAAGATCTCATATATTTGGCATATCAATCCTTGCTATTTTCATAATAAGAAATGTGATCACTTACAATACGCCAACCATCATGACTTGCAGTGGCCCATGAAGAAATGTGATTTTCTGCAACAGATTGGAAGAAACAAACAAATGCAGATATGTTTAATATAAAATCATACACATACAGCAAGGGGTTTATAGCCTTTACAAACACACGAATCCCAATATAATATAATGAACAATAAAAAGTAAGATTATCTTTGTAAGACTTTTAATAATTGTAATTGAAAACCTTATTATGCTACACAAAGCATGTTAAACCATTAGCTAAAATTCATTCAAATAGTTCAAAGCATTTGAAACCTGTATGCATTGATGATAACAGACTGTTATATGAGAATGACTCAACAGATGTCAGCTTTGAGGTCTGAGAGAGAGTGAATTTATAACAGAAACACCTGTAGATCATAAACTGGCTATTTTATCACTTCTCCTTTCCATTGCGTGCTCCTTGGATGCAAAATAAACATCATGCTCACCTGCATGAATCTGTATTTTTCAAGCCTCTGCATAATAATGGGGAGTATGACTGGAAAGAACAAAGAAAGCGGATCAGGATTCAGCATTGACTGGTGGGTGAAGTGAGGGCTGCTTTATTTTAGCACTGAGATCCGATAACTCCAGCCAAACTCTGCACATACTCATGCCTGGTGCTGCCATGGTAACTCGAGAGATGACCACCTGTGTGATGCCCTTGACAGCTGCTTTCTATGACAAACACAGACGGTATAACTTGAGAACAGAGAATGTTTATAGTGTAAAAAGGCATCTTATCCTTAAACTGATTATTTTAAGCACTAAAAGCATTCAAATCTACTGTATTTAAACTAATGGTTTTGCTCATAAGTTTACATGCTCGGGTATATATGAAATGTAAATTACAATAAATTGTTATATCAATACTAGATATCTTAGATACAATATAAGATATACAAGGATGTCGTAAAAATTAACGGTACGTAGGTGTTTAATTTCTGTTATTAATTTGTCATGTGGAATATAAGCAGTTTCTTCAGGGCAGTACTAAATAAAGCATAAAATGTTTTATGATATCATTTTCTAAACTGATACACATTTTACAGATTTTGCAAGGAGAATGTAAACTTCAGAGCAGAGCTGTAACTAGTTTCATCAGGTGAGATAAATGCTCCTCACCCTTGAGTGGCCCAGTATTTTTCCATCTTCATCCGTCACAGCAATGCCGTTCAAAATCTCCCTGTATGAGAAAGAATAAACCTGAATATACTAATATCTAGACACGTGAACCTATTGAGTTAGACCTGCCAAAATAAAAGCTGGTAGGAAACATAAGAGATCTCACTGTTGTCTCATCATTGGAATGTTCACACAGTTAGCCGCGGCCACAGCAGCGAACGGCACCCAGCGTGCCACCAGTGGAGGAGCTTTCTGAGGAGACAAAAGTTAAAGATGCTAAATAACAGACTATGATAATAGTTATCTATTATTTATTCTTTCAAATAAATAATAGATAACTACATAAATTATTCTGGTCACACTTTAGATTAGAGTCCATTTCTCACTATTAACCAACTATTAATTATGACTTTTGCCTCAGTATACTCCAATTACTGCTCATTAATACTTAGTAAAGTAGTTGTTAATTTTAAGTATTGGGTAGGATTAAGGATTTAGAATAAGGTCTTGCAGAATAAGACATTAATATGTGTTTTTTAAGTAATAATAAACAGCCAATATCCCAGTAATATTCATGCTAATTACCAACTAGTTAAAAGTGTGAATTGGACACTAAAGTGTTACCAATATTCTTATTAACTCACCAAAGTATTTAAAGTGAGAAGGATACATAAAAGCATGCATTTTAAGGTTAGACTTTAAATTTTGATGTTAAATCCACTATTGTATTGTATATAAATCTTCTACAGTCTATACAGTATTAAGTTCAATTACATAAGAAGTAACTGTAATTAAATTACAGAAAGAATAAGAGTAATCACTTACTTTACTTTTTCAAGGGAAAAGTAATTAAATTACAGTAACTAATTACTAAGTAATTAATTACACCCAACACTGTTTTTACACACAAATTTATATTTCAATATTCCGTTTGTAAATGTTCTATTGTAATCAGCTGCATATCCAAGATCCTGTCTGTAGTCATAGAGTATTCCCTTAATTATTTATATGAGGCTGAGTGATACCTTTGTGTAGAGGTTCAGCCCGACCGCAGTGACCAGCGCTGTGCTTGTTGCAGTCACATAAGCTACTCCAATCTGCCTGAGCAAAGAAGATACACACAACACAACAAAAACCCATATCTGTTACTGAAGCTTATCTGTTATTTCAAGCTCCTTCCCAGACATCTGTTAATAAATCGCTAGGTATCACGGGACAGTCACATTTTAAGAGGTATACTCTAAAACCTACAATATCTTGCAAGTGAGTAAAGTTCAAAGAAAGAAGTCACAGGAACTTACTTTGGTGTGATGGGGGAGGCAGCATTGCGATTGGTGTAGTTGACCAGAGCATTGAAAGACTGGTTAACCCACTGCCAGAACACCACAGCAGGAACTGTCCTACACGACCATACAAAAAAATTTTATCAATGCATTGATCATTTCCAGTTCCAGTCTACAGAGAATAGATTATGCTAAGACACTAAGAATATGAAAATCATATTCTGATGAGACCAAAGTAGTCTGAATGTTTGGCGCAAACTAAATGCAATTTCTGATTCACAAATGGTGAATTTTTGTTATTTAAGGTGTCATTCCAACAGGTGCTTCAAACGAAAATGTGACTCCTTCCAAAGAGCCTAAATGAAAAACAACAGAAAACAAGAAATATTCAATGCATTGATCATTTCCAGTTCCAGTCTACAGAGAATAGATTATGCTAAGACACAGAACAAAACAAATGTGACATTTCGGATGAAAATCATATTCTGATGAGACCAAAGTAGTCTGAATGTTTGGCGCAAACTAAATGCAATTTCTGATTCACAAATGGTGAATTTTTGTTATTTAAGGTGTCATTCCAACAGGTGCTTCAAACGAAAATGTGAGTTATTTGCTCTCTTCATTAGTGTAATTTTACTACTAACTGGTTTCTCATCTAACAAAGCAGCGTATTTCCAAATGCCATGATAAGAAAGTCAAAACCAAGGCTCTTACAGTGAGGCCAGCTGTGTAAACAGATGTTTGGATATCAGGGGAAAAAAACAGACCAGGGCCTTGATACCAATAATCTTGACTAGTGAAAGTGACAAATGGACTCCTGAGAGTCTGAGCTAATCATAACCAGTTTAGTTCAGTCTTCTAAGTTAAAAATCAACAAAGTTTCCACCAATCCTTAACAAGTAATTTCTCTCAAACAATATGGCGTAGAAATGTACTGTAGAGGATACTATAACTATCAGTACACGGCAACATCAAGTGTACTTTACAGTCTGCATGTGTTACATAAAAATGAAAGCAGTGCATATAAAAGCAGGTGCAAAGCAGGTGAAGGTGGACAAGATTTGACATTTGTAATTTCACTATTTAATGCAGGGAATTGAATGCACAAGTACACAAAACAAGCAAACAAAGAATGACTGTCAATGGGTCCCAACTTGTCAAGACCATTTTGTTAATTTGTTTCCTTACCGGTTTAACCTGATTTACTGGAAGTTTAACAGAAAACGTGTAAAACATATACTGTGATTAAAATAAAATATCATGAAACTAATACAAATATGTACAGGTAACTATAGCAACTAGGTATGTTACCAAGAAGTTTAAGGAAACAGACCTCGACATGTAATTTCTTAAGTGGGATAACAAAGTATGCGTTCGCTATTAAAACGTCAAGATTTCTTAAACATTACGCATGAATTTTCATAAAACTAGCAATGCCTGAAATTACATTATACAAAGTAGCAGCTAATTGAGGACTGAATCAGAAAGACTGTAAGTTATCCAGCAGCTTGCATCAGTTCATGTTCACTGTACACAAGCACCCGGATGTGCGCTGTCAAAACAAATCTGACAAAACCACAAATATCAAATGTGTCGCATGAAAATACCTTTATAAGGTGGCGTGACACTCCTGTTTATATCTCGTGGCGCTACAGTAGTAGTGGTAGTAAAAAAAATGAAGTGGGTTAAGCACTTTGATGATGTGGGCTTGCAACCGTAGACGAGCACGTGGCATTCTACCTTCCAATCCCTGAAGAGAAGAATCTCCCTCCGTCAGATTTCCGCAAATCGGTTCTCTCGAACAGTTCAAAGAGTCGATTCGAAACAACTGATTCAGCTATTGTTGTGCGGCATCCGGCATGCATGACCGCATGCTGTAAAAAGTGTTTTCAATGAAAACTCTTCGACTCTCGGTTCAACGAGTCGTTAGCTGAATTCGGAAGAGCATACTACGCTTACCTGTTCTGCCATATATTTAAATGAATGTGGCAGGAATAGTAACAGTAGAATGCTCGTTACTAGTATGCCATTTCAGTGGTTCAGTTCAGTGCTGCTGACTCGCGAACTGCTCGGAACGATTCAGTGAACGGATCATTCAGAGCGGCGTTATGACGGGGTCCAACAGAAATGGTATCCCTTTAAAAATGGAACACTATTGATTGAATATATTGATTTTCTATTAAACAAATAATTGATTTAATATTTTTATACAGACATGTATTAAGACCCCTAATATTTGGGTTACATTCGTGATTTTCTGAAGTATTTGTAACATGTGGCTTTTATTATTTTACTAATCAACTGATTTGTTCTGATACATCTACATTTAATGTATAATATATTACACATTATACACAAAATTGAAGAATATTTATTATGAAATGCTCTTCCAGTTCCACATATCCTATTTGATCTGTGTGCACAGAAACATAAACTGTTCATTTGTTGAGGATCAAATCACCTCAGCAGGTGATAATATAAACATCACTGAAATCGGTAGGCTTAGTATAATTCATTATAACATTAACGCTATCATTAGCAGAGCTAAATGTTTTCTGTGTACTACGTCACACGTATTCTTTGCGTACTACGTCATCCCCTCTTCCCCTTAGTAACCCTCAGCGGCGTCTCGGGAGCTCAGGAGGCAGAATCACAAGATGGTGAGTTAAAGCGCTTACAATAAACATAGTCGTACCTGTATACGCGTTTTGTTTGAGAGTCAACATTCTCATCTCCGTCACATTGTGAAACTGGGTTCTGTTAGCTATGATGTCTGAGGAGAATCGTGGATCTGTTGTAACGTTAATCAAGTGGTATTAAAGATGAGCAGCGGTGCTCGGCCGTGGATGAGATTAGCTTGCAGGACTGTTTAGGTGTCACGACTGGTCGAGAATCGAGGATCTTAAGTCTCTTTTTATGCCCGTTTTATAGGGGAAACTATATAAAGATCTATTTTCTTTAATTACACGTCCCTTGAACATTCATCGCTACTCTTGAAACCTGTTTGTTTGTTGATGCACTGTATAATCTGCGCTTTTTACTTGGTTTTCAGGGTTTGTTATCAATTTTACGGAAACTCAAAAGTACCCCCGACCAGGAGGTGCGGATATTGCTTCTGGGGTTGGACAATGGTGGCAAGACCACCTTACTGAAACAGCTGGCATCTGAAGACATCACTCATATTACTCCAACACAGGTGATATAATTACTTGGGGTGACCATAAGTACTCCTTTTCCCAGACATGTCCTGGCTGGGAATTCTAAAATGTCCTGGGTTTGGCTTTTTTTCCCCTGTTGTTTTCATACCTGACTGAAAAGTGAATTGAGCAATAGTGTGCAGGCATTGTACATAATCGTCCAATCGTGGCTTGTGGTCAAACTAATGAACATACGCATTTATATAATGTATGAGGACTAGAGAGCATCTCAATAGGAAAACAACACCAAATCCCAGACATTTTAGGCGATTTAGATGTCTTGGCCAGGACATGTCTGGAGAAAAAGAGGCATATGGTCACCCTGTGGTTACATAAAGCCAATTAGAGTTAATGCATGGATAATTTACTGGATCTGCTGCATTTTATTACCAATGCAAGTTTAATAACTCTTTTTCTTTCTCTGTAGGGTTTCAATATCAAGAGCGTCCAGTCGCAAGGATTCAAATTAAACGTGTGGGATATCGGTGGTCAGCGAAAGATTAGACCTTACTGGAGGAACTACTTTGAGAACACAGATGTACTGGTAAGATCATTTGTCCGATTAAAAGTCATCCCACAATCCACTTTGATTCCAAACATGTTGTTAATTGGACACTCTTTTTGATTTCAGATTTACGTTATTGATAGTGCAGACCGCAAAAGATTTGAGGAAACCGGACAGGTCGCTATTCTTTCTTCACTATTCCAAGCAATTTATGCTTTCAGTGTTTAAATAAGTGAATTGATCTGCATGCAGGAGCTGGCTGAGTTGCTTGACGAAGAAAAGCTCAGCGGTGTCCCGGTTCTAGTGTTTGCAAATAAGCAGGACCTGCTCACGGCAGCCCCCGCGTCCGAGATAGCCGAGGGTTTGAATCTGCACACTATCAGAGACCGAGTGTGGCAGATCCAGTCCTGTTCTGCCCTCACAGGAGAAGGAGTCCAGGTTGGTTTGGAATACATTTTGTTGTTTGTCAAATTTGACTTCAAAACAGTATTTGGACTTTCTGACTCAAATGTTGTTTCAGGATGGTATGAACTGGGTCTGCAAGTGTGTGAACGCTAAGAGGAAATAGAGCTGTTTTCCAAGCAGGAGGCAATATAACCATGACTTTGAAAAAAAAACTGTCAGTAGGTATAAGAAATGAAGGCATCCCTTCAAAACTATTTAAATTCACCTTTGCCTCTCCTTTTGGGCCTGCTTTGGACCAGTATCCATACAATGAGCTCAAATTAATAGTATCCTTTCCTTAGTCTTTTAAACTCAAAATTAAGAATGTACATCCATGTTTTTTTAGTACACTTCAAATCTTAATTCATTCTGCCTTCATTTCTTGAGATGAATGACTTGTGTTTTTATTTTGGATGTTATAGTTATTCAGAGGATTTTGTTACTGAGACATTTAAAAAGTGACAGCCTTCATCATTCAGTTCAGCAGTTGTCCTTCCGTACTGGCATTATTCACTGATATAACACTCTTGTTACTCCATCTAAGGTCATATTTTTCTAAGTTTTCCTGAGAGTAACAGAGATAAGAATTACGGTACCCAAATGCAACATACAACAAACATATAATATACAAAATAAAAGGGGACCATCAATAGGACGTTTTTGATAATTAAATGTAAATAATGTTCCAAATATCAAATTATTTTCTGCATATATATATATATATATATATATATATATAT